CCCATACACTATTTAGTAGGGGTGTTTGTAACCCATATTTGTTTTTTCTAATATTATATTCGTGCAATGATTAACTACATCTTTAACATATTGTTCATTTACTTAACATTACTCATAATTGATGTGATAATTCTTCTGATAGGTTTAGAGGCTGTTTTAGGGAGTTCCATATATACACCCCTATCATACAATTACAGTTTCTGGAATTTAGCATTGTTTTAGCTGTTTTTAATGACCTCTTGGACACTGGAAATGTTCGAAGTACAGCTCACTGGTATATTCTTTATTAAGATTAAGATGACTTTATATTGCTCGATCCGACAGATGCCATAGTCAAAGTAAGATTAATTTTTATTGTTAGGAATCTAAATATATATTATAACCTAAATACTGTTTTACATGTTATCTCTAGAATTAAGTGATGATCTTTTTAGAGTTCTTAGACTTAGTACAGTAACTTGTTTTTACAGTGCACTTAATGATTACATTATGGGCCTAATGTTTACCAGTGATCCGACTGTATAGAGTATGATAATAGCCATATAATATTGTGTCACACAACACAACGTTGATCATTATTTTATTAATTGCAGCATTATTGTACCAGTTTATATTATCTAGCATTGACCTAATTGTTTTATGGTTTTGTTTCAGTTCACCGCATGAATAAAATAGTTTTGGAAACCGTAATTGTGGCCATTAGTATTTATTATAGTGGTTGACGCTAACTGGCGGAATTAAGCTACACACCAAGTTACGCTTTACTGAAACCAGTACAATTAGCCTCGAAAAAAGCATTAAATCACCTAATCTACTGTGTAAACCAAGCTTGTTTTTAATTTATTTTGTTTTGTTTGTTGTTGTTTTTTTTTTTTTTTTTAATTCATGTACAGTGTACCGTATGTACTGTACTATCCCGAAAAAAGCCTATGTGCTTCTTTTCGAGATGGGCTTTTTTCGAGGCTAATTTTGCAAACTGTGGCACACTTCTTAATGTAAAATGTTTGGGCAATGATGCGGCTGATGAGCACTGCATATAGAAATCCCAGCGGAGCGTACATGTGTCTTGTGTCTTCTGCTTGATATGTTTTTTTATTTATTTATTTTTTTTTTTTGGCTACTTTTAACTCATCGACGCTTTCTATGTTGGCAATTCACTTGAGTTACTGTACATATATTATATATGATATTGAAAGAAGCATATAGGTTTTTTTCGGGATAGTACAGTACATACACTGTACATGAATTTAAAAAAAACAACAACAAACAAAACAAAATAAATTAAAAAGCTTGGTTTACACAGTAGATTAGGTGATTTAATGCCAAACAAGCTTGGTTTACACAGTAGATTAGGTGATTCCCGTCGGAGGCATTTTATTACACAATGATTTTTCATAGGACTTTATTCGTTGAAAAGCTACAGGGTAGCCTACGATGTTCCATCATGTCCTTATTAAAACACTGTATATGTACCTTTAATGATTTATATTATATTTATTCAACAGTGTTAACGGCTAACTTCCTTCAATATCATATATAATATACGACAGTATTTCTAGCCGTATTTCCAGATTTATCTGGCCGAACGCCCTCTTGAGGCATAGCATTGTGTAATACAATGTTCCCGTCGGGTATTTGGACCTGTTCAACCATGAAGCCTTCGTGGTCTAGTGGTTTGGATCTGTACCCTAGTTCCACTATTTGCATTCACATCTGGGCTTTGTATATATATTGCCTTGGTTTGGCTCTGTAATCATTAGTGGTCGTGGGACTAGTTTGGGCCCTACCTATGCTGGTCGAACGTTTCGTTTGGGTCTGTACCCCAGGGACGTAGCCAGGATTTTGAAAGGGTGGTGGGGAGCCGTTATGCGAATTACGAAGGATCCCGCCGGGGTCAAGGGGGCGAATCCCCCTGTGATGTAGCGCACTCTGAACATTCTTAGGACTGTTTGAGAGGATAAAGTGAAAATTGCAATAGACACATTATAAATAAGCGCAAAATAATTACATAATAAATCCACAGTGGCAGATGCAGGAATTCAAAAGAGAAGTGAACCAGGGAGGGACATTCACAGATTGAGGAACCACTCACCTCAGAAAATTTATGATTAGGGCATCTCTAGACGGCCGGAAATTACACTCTCGCACTTCAATTTGAATTGACTTGGGCCAATTACTAAACATCAGTATACCTTTAAACTTTATGGACTTGGGCCACATTTCCAATTTATAAATGTTATCAACATCGAAAGGTCCACTGATTAATCTCAGATAAGATAGTATAATACATACTCCAAGTATCGAAATGCACGCCATCGTGTCGGGATTCAATAATTATGTCATCATTAATTATGACATAATTAATGTCGAAATATTGAATCCTGACACGATGGCGTGCATTTCGATACTTGGAGTATGCATTATACTATGTTATCAACATCATGCTGAGAGAAACATCCTAACAGATATGCGCAATTATGATTCAATATTCAATTCAAAATCAGGACCAACCAAATGTATAATTACAACAGAAATCAACTAATGGATTATAAACTTCATGCAATATTTGAGGTCGATTTGTCGTATAGCTCAATAAAGCAGATGTAAGCATTGTAATGCTAAGGTTTCTTACTTTTTAGGGAAGAGGCACATACCTGGTTCTCGACAGGATGGATGACTATAATATTTGCATTCGATGTTTGTGATCGCATTGATGTTTACGGACTTGTTCCTGAAAATCACTGCAGGTTAATGATTGTCTTTATTTTCATTATGGAGGGGGTAAGTTCTGTGGTTTTTATGACACAAGAATCACACCTTAACTGGATCGGCTAAACTGGGTGTGAAGTGTAAATGTTATATATTCAGAGTATGTTTTAAGATTATATAAGAGTATATTTTTTTTTAAAGTACATTTGGATAAAACCTTATCTGATATTGTTATTCAAATATGTTGTTGTTCACAGCAAATTGGCGAACTGGACTACACCGTATCATTACTACGATCTTGAGTTCAGATCAGAATGCGACTATTATAACACAAGCGAAACCCATTTATTAAGTGGCCACAAGTTTCTAACGGAAAAGGCTGTATATGCAAGGTGGTATAAAAAGTACAATCTCAATTTCTACCATCCAACGTGGGATGCCGAGGACTTGGAAACCAGTAACAACCGTACCAACAGCACTTTCTTAGATACCCCGTATCTTCGACGGTATCAACGCGCTATGGAAACTGGTGAAATGAAAGAAGCTTTGCTCAAACTTGAAAAGAAAGAACACAAACTTCAAAGAATGGAAAAACGAAAAGAAGCTAGACTTGAGAAGGCAGGCAGAAGAAAATCAAGGAGAGGACGGAGACGAAAGGCAAAGACTGGAAATTCACCGGAACAAAATAGCACATTGCAAGGAGGCAGTGATCAGAAAAGAAATCAATCTACAGGGACTATACTGTATTAAGAAAATTCAGAAACATAAACACTGGTATATAATCTTACATGATCGTGACAACCAACACAAAAAGAACCTACTATATCATATCCATCGATTATATGCTGGGTCACCAATGTAGGTGCCTTCAGCAGGAGGGGGACTGATGGTGGTCCTGAGGACGATTTCAGCAGCACTTATTTCCTACAAGTTACCCTGCAGTCGTAAATAAAGTATAGCACAAGAGGGTTCGTCGACTGCTGATATCACAGGGATTTCGAGCCCCTCAAGCTTAATCCATAGTGAATTCCTCCCAAGCAAGTAATTCTGCGGGCAGACAATTGAGCCCATCTGACATATATTCTGGGGGTCGAAATCACTCGGGATATCTTTTTTTCCACCCCACTCGGCATAGATAATTCATTTACCTAGATTCAGAGTGAGAAGACTTTTACTTGCAGACCAAAGGCGACGTTTTGGGACATAGACATTGACCTATGCCCTATACCCGTATTTTTAAGGAAACATTTACATCTGAAAGAAATCAAATCGATATGTATACGGTATAGGTGTTTATATCAGATACATCTTTAGGATAGCTACCATGTATTTTTATTTTATGCGTACTGTGCAATGCATACGTATTAAACGTCCACAATTACATTTTAAAATAGCATTATATTTGGAACCAGTTATATATACAGTATACAGCCGCCAAAATAAAAACAATTTAAAAAAAATAGATTTTAAAAAGGGGAATTAGGCCTACTCATTTAAAAAAGCCAAATAAATTATTCCTTTACAAAATATAGTTGTAAATAGGCGCTGAGTAAGCTGTATGCCTCCAGATTTTGTCCTGGGATTTTCACATTACTTACCTTTGATTATCATTCAAGCAAGACATATTGGTGATATTAGGTTTTGATTTTTATTGAAGTCCTGATCTATATCAATTTTACAGTTAACAGTAAAATGCTAAACGTTTCTAGAAATCTTAGTTAATTTGTAGTGTTAATAGTGAGGCCTAATGTTTACTGTTTCATCGTTGGCAGTTTCTTGTGTCTTAGTGCTGTGTGGCATGCACATGAGCCTCACAGAACTTCATCAGTTCACAGTTGCTCTGTTCATTGACTGTTCTCTACAGTTATATTTCCTTAGTTTTGTCAGATGTTTATGCTGAAATAAACAGGTGGGAGTGTGTTCTGTACTTGAATCTGTTAAACATGAATCTTGTTTTTAGATCTGTTTCTGGTAAATCTAAGTTTATATATAGCAGTAACGATTTTAATAATCCTAATAAACACTGCGCAATTACTAATTAATTTAAACAAATAATTATGGATATCGGAATTCAACGAAGATCGCGGTGCCACAGAGCAGGAAATCATATGAGAAGACCAATTCAAAAATTTGGTGACGTCAACAAAACTAATGATAAAATAACGTTTCAAGCTATAGATGCTGTTAACCACAATAATTTTATCCACCCTAATATATAAAAGAAAAATTACACAGAGTACGCACGATGCGCCTTATGGAATGCCCATTCCATAAGAAATAAAACTACATCTATGTGTGACTTTGTAATAGGGAATAAAATCGCCATCATGGCTCTTACTGAAACTTGACCAACGGGTAATGATATAGATAACCGATCGATTGCCGACATTAATTCAAGCTTACCTAACTATAAACTTAATCATTTACCACGATCACAACGAACTGGTGGTGGTGTTGCTCTTTTCATCAAAATTGGTTTTTGTGTCAAGCAGGAGAGAAAGTGGTGACTTGTTCGAGAGCTTTGAGTACATTGGTATACAATACCAATCTACAATGCTAAAAATCTTTGTTGTCTTCAGGCCCACTCCCTCAACGAAAAACAACCTTATAGCAAATATGTTGGTCATGGGAAACTTTAACCTTCATGTAAATGATAAGGGTGATAGAGATGCAACCATTATGATGTGGGCGGAGGTGTGCACTTTCAGAGTGCCCTCTAGTTATTGATATTAATGCTGATGTGGTTGTTGCTGTTAATGGCGGTGTTGTGTATCTGCTGTTGTTGCATTAATTTTATCAAAGAAAAACATTTCAAAATTTTATTTCCAACATATTACGTGGGCAGCCCTTTCAGCAATGCTGTGTGACCACTTAAGGCCTACAGGGACGTATCCAGGGAGGACTTTGTAATAATCGTCGCACTTTGTAATACCTGTCGCACTTTGTAACAAAGTTGTCACACTTTGTAATAACCTGTCGCACTTTGTAATAACTGTTGTCGCACTTTGTAACAATCAAGCTGTCGCACTTTGTAATAACTGCCTGCCACACTTTGTAATAAAATGAGCTGTCGCACTTTGTAATAATGTTTCATTTAATTATGTTATAACTTTTAATGGATAGAACGTTACATATTATGGAAGAATAATACCACAATGTCAAGGTCATACACAAGTTTTACTAATATTTAATAATTTCGATTATAATTTCCTCGGTGCCTTACTGCGTTGTATGTAATCCCAAATCAACAGATGTGAGAGTTTTTTTCTTGCGCGCGTGCATGATGCTACAAGGTTATGGTCATATAGGCCTATACTACTACTAATTTCAATTGTAATATTTATCGTTCATTAATTTATATTTTATGTGTGTGTGGTAAAAAACAATAAAACAAACAAACAAACTAATGATTGTGATTATAATTATGGTGTTTATAATTTCAAAACAAGGTGGCTAACTGTGTTATACGTAGTCCGAAATCAACAAATGTTGTGAGATTGACTTTTGTTGCACACATGCATGATACTACAAGCATGGAGGTATTATTGAGAAGATCACTCGAAAAAGCTACGCGCACGCAGCGCTATGCAAATGAACCAAGATCAAAGCTGCCGCAGCGCGTGAAGAACGTTTGCGCGATGCCTTTGAAGTCCCATGTGTTCCCCGCCATCAAATTTTCAGCAGGCATAGTTTACCAAAAAATTGAACATGGCGAAATGGAGAGCACCTTCTTTTCTCGATGCGCACTACATACAGTCAATCACTATGGCTGCGCAAAAAGTTTCCATTTTGAAGCTGATACATTTATCTCTCATAAAATAGTAAACATATTAATATTTTCCACCAAAAAAAGTTTCGAATTTAATGGAACATTTACATGACCTTTAAAAGTATAGTATAGTTCAACTTCAATTTCCATAAATTGGTCAAAATTCGCTAATTCTAATTTTAACAGATATTAATTGATAAATGATTGAGGATTATAATAAACTAAGTCATTTTAGGGTTAACGAGGGTTAACTATTCGAAAAATCAATCCAAAATCTGAGTATTTTTCAGTTTTACGCTGACTTAGCTTTATAGTCGAACTAATCAATC